GAGTGTAGGGATCATTTCTGCACTCATTTCTTTCCCCCTGTTGCTACTGAATCTAAAAATTAAGCCTGTTGCCTTGCCTAATCAAGTTAGCTTAGACTTGATTCAGTGACCTAATAATTCTCCAAGAGTGAGGTGGCATAACATATACATAGCTCATAACCCAGTGAAATGTCCTTTGAGTCCCAGAGGCTCATCTGTGATCCAGCACTGAAACTGACACTCAGAAGGAATTTTAAGACAGGTAAAGGAGCTTTTACTCATGTAACTCAATTTAGGGCATCTCAGTTAGCCAGTGACATTGGGTGGCTAAACTTGAACACCCCCCTTTTGCTTTCCCATTGTCATCCTCGAAGTTTGGCTAGTCCTGGAAAAGGTGGAGCAGACTACAAGTTGTGAGTTGTATAGTATTGGGGTTTGTGGGATAATGATACCCTTTGTGGAGAATGCAGACAGGCTTTGCTCAGGGATGTACTTGTAACTAGTACCTCTGATTTTTGACATCTAGTAACAGTTCCTGAGATTGCTGTGTCTTTTAAAAACTAATACAAACTGAACTAAGTCAAGTCCCATGAGTATAGGTATCAAAGTAGGAACTATTGGATAATCCTAGATCATCATAACTATTAGATTTGGGAGAAACATGGTAGTCCACAACTGGCAAAATTCCTGCAGAGATCTATCAGTCTGAATAAAAACCAGGACTGCTTTGACTCCATACAGATGGAGAACATGAAGGCTTGCAAGACTAGTAGAGCCTTATACAGAGCAGAGGTACTCCTCACCACAAGAGGTATGCACAAATAACCCTAAACATCTAACAGCTGGTGTCCCAAGAAGGAGACCATTGAAGGGGGAAAGGTCAAAACCAGAATAAAGCTGAGTAGAGGAGTATTTACCTCAAAATTCTCAGGAGCTTTTAGTTTCTTTTTATACTGTCTGTACCTTTTGAGTTGGCCTGACTAAGTGGCAGGGTCAGAAAGGAAAAAATGAGCCTGGATTCAGCAAAACAGTAAGATGTCTCTCTCAAGGTGGAGAAGACTGGGCCTAGTAGCTAGGGTTCCATAAAATACTGAACGAGCTCAGATCCTAACCTGAGTGGAAGTCCCATAAGCTGTGCCCTGTCTCAGTTTCATTTGCATCCCTCTGGTCAGTGTGACACCACAACACTTGCTTTAAAGAAAGAAGATTTTTGCTTCCCTATGTGTTATCTCTGCTAAAAAAGATGTCTGACACCATTTTGTAGGGGTTTGTGGGTTTTTTTAATCAACAAAGACTATCATACAATATTTGGTCCCATGGGGCCAAATTCATAGAACTGTAGAATGGTTTGTATGGGAAGGAACTTTAAAAATCATCTAGGGCCAGACACAGGAGCAGACACTCTGCTCAGGACCACTTTGGCTCTGCTTTTTCCAAGTGCCTGAGACCTTGAGCCTAAACAAACACATCAGCTTCTTCAGAAAGTTTCTACACCAAGGACTAATGAATCTGTCTCATATTTGCTGCACACCTAGAAAAATCAAATTACCTTGAATCAACTTACAATACTGCACAACACTCATGGCTGTTGTTAATATGGTGTGAGCCAGAAGTTTGTGTTTGGCTTATACTCTTTAGAATGGAAGACAATGGAGTGGAAAGAACGAAGCAGAGACAGCAGAGTGTGTGGTGTCACCAAACATCTGTACTGCTGAAGATACAGTCTGGGGAAGTACCTTTAAGGGGAGCTGACACTCACAGAAATTGTGCCAATGTGTAAAACGCTCCTTTCACGAAACATGCAAAGCCAATAACTTTTTCCATGGCTTTTCAGAAGTCAGATGCTAGTTAAAACCTGTGGATATGCGTACATTTCTCTCTATGGATAATTAGCTACTTTATGTGTGGTGCCTCCTCGATTAAAGAAAATTCTTCTATGCAAATAAGTGGAATAGACTGGTCAAATTTATATGCGGAAAAAACCCTTCTTTTATATAAATACGTAGAATTTATTTAGGTGAGTTTCTTACTTCATAGACAAGTGTTAGTTCCTAGACAGCTCCTGGCTATTTAAAATGTTCACCCTTCATTGTCCTTTTAAGCAATGCCTATATACAAACACTGAGGAGGAACAATTGATTTTGACAACATGCTTAAACAAATGACAAAACCACATGTCTTGGAATTGGTTTTTTTGCTTTTTCCACTAAATGATCAAGCCCTGTCCTTTTGGAATCAATGGCAAAATTCCATTGATTCCATAGGGCCACATTTTCACCCTACCCTCTTCTTTTCCAGTAGTAAGTAGATTTGGCCCAAGTTTGTCTGAAGATACTGCTTTAAAAGTATTTCTTCTGCTCTACTGAATAACAGAGTGCATTGATATTTAAGAATGAAAGCTCATCAAGTTTAAATTTCAGTTGTTTCATAATAATAGCCATATGTTAGTTATAGATTGTGTAAGTCTGAAGTTTTGGTAATCTAAAACTGCTTTAAAGTGACCTTTACGTGGTTCACGTTTCAATGTTTTCTAAAAGCAATCCGTATCGGTCCTTACTCATAAATCCTTACATTAAAAGAATCTGCAGGCCCAGGCCCTTAGTTAACAGGCTTACAGTAAGGAAGTGCTGTGAACATTTATACACACACTTGACCTCACAAATCTAGTCTTCACAATGAAATCAACGTAACTGCTCTCAGAGGACAAAATCAGACCAGGATGAAATGTCAACTAAGAAAGGCCACTTACTATTGAAGACGGGATGGGAAGCAAGAGGGACCTCCACCCTGACCTGATACAGTTGTTACATTCTTCTCTAGTTAAATAGTGCAAGAAAATAAGATATAGTATGGGAAATATTTTTTTTTTTTCAGTAGTGGCTAGTCAGGCTGGGGAGGTAGAGATACTGTGGGCAGCATGAGGCTGTAGCTCAGCTCCACTACCACTGCCTGGTGTTGTCATATGATTTCTCCTCGATTTCCCAGCCACACTGCAGATGATCTTGTCTTTTGTTTGGGGTGCTCACATGGCTGCAATTTCTTATTTCTTTGCAGTGCTCTATTCCCTATTCACCTCCATTCGTGTGCCTTTCCTTACATAATTGAGAACTTTCTAAAAAGCCATATTATTCCTGTTGTCCCCTGACTTTCTATCTGACTGAATATTTCCACTGTTATAGTAAAGGTGTTTGATTTTTGCTATTTGAGGCTTTTCACATCAAATACGAGCACTTCAAGTGTTTTTATTTTGATAACAGGGAAACCAAGGCACAGCAGCTAAAGCTATTTGCCAGACTATACAGCATGAGCACAGCAAGATACAGACTAGCATCAAATCTCCTGATCCTTCCCTCTAATGCCTTGGTGTTTAAGCATTCTTTGGAAAATAAACTAGCAGAACTAAAAAAGAAGATTAAAAATATGCCACACTCAAAATAAGATCAAAACAATTTTGATATGCTGACAAAAAGGAAATGCTGATTGAAGTCTGCTTCAAATTGATTGATATCTTAATAGACCTCTAACTTCTGTGGAATTTTGTTATTTCACCCATGACATTAAATGTTAAAGTGCTATATTTGCAGCACTTTTCCCCTGAAGAAGAAAAATACCGTTCACCTAGCAGCTGGTGAGACTTCCTTTTCTTTTGGTGCACTACTATCTTTAATGGCCACTTTTCCAGAATTTAGACCCTTGATATATTTGAACCTAAATTAGATGTTTTCAGTGAAAATACACAATGCAGCAGATAGACATTGGGAATCCATACAGCCCATGGCAGCACAGAGAGATTACAGATGTGAATGCACACCTGTCCCATGTTCAGTGCTTCCCACTCTAACATCCATCGAAGCACCATGGGGCACAAGGGAACCAAAGCCAAAAGCAGCAAGGACCCACCTGTAAATAGATATAAACCCAACTGCTTTATTGCCCTAAATTAATAATATATGAAAGAAAAGCTATCCAAGAATTGCAATCAGTTACTCCAGTTTTTTGAAAAATAATTCATGGCTGTATACATTAAGGCGCTGAGGCCACTGTATCTTTCGTAAAAACTGCACAGGGGTGAATTCCAGAGGGACGAGACCGAGTGGTTTTAGCGGTGCGACTTGGCACCCTCCACGGAGCTGCATTTCCCGGGAACGGGGGGCGGCGGGTGCCCGTTCGGCCGTGCCCCTCTCGCCAAGCAGGCGGCAGGAAACGGCAGGAGAAAGAGGGAGGGAGTGAGGGAGACCCTCGGAGAAGCCCCATTGTTTAGATTTCTGTCACGAGCCACGAGAATACTTAATTTCTTTCGTCTCTGGAGTTTTCATTATCATTCAAATTTCATTTTCCATTAATTGATCGGGGATTAGCGAAGCCATTATGCAAAAATTAAAAGACAAGGCAAATGCGATGAATAATTTATGAGGGACAATTACACTTTATTCCTGGTGCACTTCCTAACTTCCCTCCGACTCCCCGCCTGCTGCAGATGACAGCCTTCCCTCCCTCCCTCCCTCCTTCCAGGCCGAGCGGAGCCGGGCCGGGCGCGGGCAGCCCGAGGCTCCCCCGGGCGCTGCCGCCGCCCGCCGCCAGGTGTCAGGCGCCGCCCGCGGTGCGCGGGGGGCCGCGGAGGCGCCGCGCTGCTCCCGCCGCTCTCACGATCCTTATCGGAGCGACCGCCAGCGCGCTGGGCTCGGGCGGCAGCGGCGGTGCCTGCCCGCTGCCTGCTCCCTGCCTGCATCCCGCACCCCCTCCCGCCGCCGGGCAGCCGGCCTGGAGCGGGAGCAGCCACGGGCGCTCCCCGCCCTCGCCCCATCATCTTCGCGTCCCACACCCCTCACACCGGGCATCTCATTTATCCCACCGGACAGTTGTTGCCCCATTAAAGTGCAGTCCCGCCCTTCGCGGAGGACCTTTCATCTGGCGAAGTTTTATGACACTTTGTAAATGTGCAAAGTTTTTAATTAGACTCGCCAGACAGCCCCAGGCAGCACTAGCGCCACGAAGTCTTCATGCCGCTCTCTGCTTTACAGCACAACAAGCCGCTCTACTCCTTTGAAGACAATGCCGACTATGTCTACGATGTCATGTGGTCGCCAGTGCATCCCGCGCTCTTCGCCTGCGTGGACGGGATGGGGCGCCTGGATCTGTGGAACCTGAATAACGACACCGAGGTGAGGCGGCGCGGCGGCGGCCGGCGGTGGGGAGGCGAGGGCGGGCGGCGGGGCGCCGGGGAGACCTTAACCCTGTGAGGGCCGGCGGCGCTGCCGAGCACCCCCTCGCCGTCCTCCCCGCGGGCTCTGCGGGAGCGCCGCGCTCCCTCGGGGCGATGGCAGCCCGGCGTCGGCCGCTCCCGCGCCCCGGGGCGCGGCGGGAGGGGAGGGCACGTCCCGCTGCCGGGGGCTCCCGCCCGCCCCCCTCCCGCGCCCGCCTTCCCTCTCTCCCTCCCTCGCTCGCTCCCTCCCCTGCGGCGGGGCTGCTGCGCTCGATACCTGTCGGGGGCGGGAGGGCCGACTCTGGCACCCCCGGCAGAAAGCCAACACAATTAAATGCCGCGGTGCCGGCTCGGGGAGGAGGCTCCCTCCCGCTCTGTTATTTTAAGCTGCACTTTTTAAACCGCGCCCGTTCTGCAGGTTTTTTTATCCCCTCCCCCCGTTTCTGGTGCACGACGCTCCAAGCGCCAGGTTTGCGATGCCCGCCCTCGCCCAGGTGGTCACACCTTGGCAGGCCGGCCACAGGCTGCCAGCGGGGACCGCGGCGCCGGGCAGCCTTTCGCCAGGGCTCATGTTGCACTGGGAGATTTCATTTCTCTCCCTATTTATTATCCTCTGCTCCAAATTCTCTGGAGATTATAACTTGGAAGCCCTGTACCGGTGCCTCCGTCGTGTCAGAAACCCAGTATGTGCCCCTGCATCTCCCCTCGCCTCCCACCTTTGAGTCGCTAGGTACCCCACTTCAGTCTTTAAATGCACAGGGCATCTGTCTCTCATGTTATTTGGTACTTTATACCCTCACCTTTCTTTTCCTTAAACTTTGCTGTGGAACTTAAAGACACAAATGTAAGTGACAACAAGTTTTCTTTCCATTGTTATTAACTAAAGAGTGGGAGGAATTATTATTAACTAACTGGGGAGGAAACATCTCACCTTCGAATTTTGCGGATGAGAAAGGATTAATCAGAGTGCTTTTAGCAAAGATTGAGACTGGTAAACACTGCATTTTTTTTAAAAAAAATATTTTAAATGTGCTAAGCACTCTTTTTTCTCCTATTATTTCAGATTTTTAAAAATGCCAGGAATTATTTTTTCTGTATTTGAGTTTCCCCAAAAAATGTTTTTGAGAAAACCTGTCATATCACCTGAAGTCAGTCTTAGATAGCCAGCAATCAGTATTCAGCACGAGAAGTGAAGTATTTTTCCACACACAAAATCTTGCATGGTTTTACTTAATGCAATGTAAAATTAAGAACAAACAGACAGTAAGAAAATAAAAGGTCACATATTCGCTGACCAGTTTCTTTTTATGTCCAAAAAAGAGAAGACAAAAGAGCAAGCAACCGCATTTTTCTCCGTACGCTCTATTTTTTTTATTATTATTTTTTTTAAGATTAGTTTGACCATTACTACGCCTTTCCTGTAAACATGCTATGCATTTCAGACAGAATAAAATACGGGTGCAGTTTATGGCTTCGAGTGAGTGGTGCTTGCCATAAATAAGCACAGACAGGTAAGAGGAACCAGCACCGGGCACTGCACTGTCAAGGGGAGCAGTGAGGCCTTTTGAAGTGCTCTGAGCAGGAAGCAGTGCAGCCTTTTTAATTAGAGCATATACAGCTGGAGGATATACAGGAGGAGTCTCCTCAGAATTTATTTTGGGAAGGGAGGGACATATCCTTCAGGTGTTCTCATTAATGCAGGCTTAAACACAGAGCATAAACCCCAGCATTTTGCGAAGAAAAAAAAATAACCCTTTCCCCCCAAATGCCAGGGCTGAAATCCTGCTCTGCTTGAAATCAACTGATGTTTTGCCATTTCACCCAATGAGACCATAAGTTCTTTCCAAAAAATTAATATGGACCGCTTGATCCCATTCCCATCAATAGCAAGGCTGTACATAGCAAACTGCTGTGCATTTTCAGTGTGTTTACATATAAATACATAGGAACATCAGGAAAAAAAAATTAATTTCAAGCTCGATCTTGCTTTTATTCTGCATGCAAGGCCACCCGTGATTTCACAAGTTATTTCCATTCTGAGAGGTCAAAATCAGCTCTCATGTGAGGATCAGAAAGGAATTATTTCCGTGATATCTGAGCTTTGTATTTTTATGAAAACCGGCTTTGGGTCTCTAGATGCAGAAATACCATTTGGTTTCCTTACTGAGCATGGATGAAACAAATTTAAAAATCTACATAAATGATAAACTGGCAGATTCTGAATAGTGGTGAAGTTTGATTATGCAGGAGAAGCAGCAAAAGTACCTCTGAAAGAGAGAACTGTAAACAGTTCTTCCGATTAACTGAAAGTGATTGTTGTTTGCTTTTACCCTCTGTCTGATAGATCATAATTAGTTAATAATTTTCAATAAATCTGTAATTGATTACACCGTTTAAGTCTGCACAGCTATTTGCTAAGAAAAACTCCTTGTCAGCACTTTTGCCTTTGTAATAAGAGATCTTGAAACACCTATTTTTAAAATCATTATTACTTTTAGATGTCAGATATGTGATGTCAAAGTATTTGTGAAGACAGTAGAAAATGACAGGTCTATTACTGTGTTTAACTGCTAGCTATTGATAAAAATCTCTGCATTAGAACTAGATGTGATTGTTATTAATGAGTCCTGGTTTTGTTTAATATGGGGAATAAGCTGTATTATTCTTTAGGTGTTATTTTGAAAATCAGTTAAGAAGAAAACACCTGGGTTTAGTTACAATATGCTACCTTCAAATTTTTTAACTGCAACAGAGTTTCCACTAGCGTTACTCCCCGTATTTATTAAAAACATTTTTCCTGAGAGGTAGATGTTTTCTGATCAAAATAACTAAGATCATTTGACTGCACCACGGGTTTAATCATTATAAATTCTCAAAATCCCAGTGCAAACTAGTAAGGCTATCGGTGTATTTCATATTGATCTCTGAATATCAGAACTTGATTTTGTAATAGCAATGAAAATAGTCATGTTTTACTTTATATCTGATAAATCAATGTAAAAAACCTTTAAAAGAAAAAAAAAAACCCACTGTGTCATTCTTTTGCAAACTGAATATTATTTTTATGGATCGGTATAGTGAGGTTTGCAAATAGTTTCAGGATAGCAAATGTGTCTGTATTTCTTTTTTGATCAAGACTGGAGAAGATCTCTGGGTGATTGAGGAGTCTGTCTATGAACCGATATGAAACTGACTTAGAAAGTTGCTTATTTCTTCTGTGTTATATCCCATTCAAATGTTTTTGGGGTTTTTTTGCATGCCATACCTTAGCTTTGCAATTGTGAGGATGATATCTATATCTAGAAACAGATAACAGATGTATTTGCAAGCAGGTTTTGACACTGCATAAGCAGTAAAAATAATAATATAAAAGCCATACTCTTATCATGCAAGTTTTTTGACTGCATCTTTCTTAATGTTATTTGTTAAAATTTCATTTCAAAATTGTTAAAAATTTGACAAGCGAAAACTTCAGAGAATTTTTATAGTATTTCAAATGTGATTTTTAAAAACATAATGCTACCATTATAAGTAAACTCTTATCTTGAAATCTAAAATAGGCATGTATAATTTAACCTATCACTACTGAGAGCAGATAAATCTATTTTAAGATACCATGGGTTTACTGTATTTCTCTCTGTATCACTGGAGAAAAGGCTTTTTATTTAGATTTTTAAAGACTTTCATTACTGCTTTTTATTTGGTTAGACAGCTTTGTGGATTAGTAACAGGACTTTTCAAAATCGTTGGGTTTTGAAAAAAATCATGGGTTGTGTCTTGTGTCTGTGGCATGCATGCTGCTTATTTTTATGTGGAACACTGAAAAAATGCTGTATTTACAAAAACAAACAAAAAAACCCCCAACCAAACCAAAACCCAACTTTAGAGTTATGTATTTCAATCTCCTGAAAGATTTTGTGAAAATTCAATGCCTTAAATATTCACTATGTATTTGTACACGAAACAAATATCTTTGATTTACAGTTTTCTGAGAATCGTAGCTGGTTAGTGGCTTAGTCCTGTACAATGTGGCATTTAGTTTTTTGAAAAATTCTGTTTCCAAATGTTATGAAATAAATTTTGGCTGGAATTAAAATAGCTTTTTTTTTTTCCCCCCCTAGAAATCAGTGATCGCAGCAGCAAAACTTGCTTGTTTTCTACTGTGATTTTTATCATGGATCAATGACTCCCTGTCAGCTTAAGGCCATTGACTCTCACTTGGGTAACAGACTTGGACAAGGAGTTAGTGCGTGCCAGTTTTTTTGGGTGATACTGCTTTGGACAGGACCTAGGCCTTGCACAATGGGGACATGAATCCGGTAGTTATTTGCATTTGAATGACTTCTTAAAGGGGGGAGGATGGTATCTGCTTTCTGATTGCTATCCAGCATTATTTCTAGATCATTTTGCAAACAAAACCCTCTTGCATTCCACATGTGGGGCTCAGGACAGTACCGTGAACCCCTTTGAAAAGGTGGAGCTTTAGCTTTGGTGGGTTTGTTGTGCTTGAGGTTCCAGTTGGTTTTGCAGCTGTGTCAGGGTCGGTGAGGAGGAGCAGGGAGCCTCCAGGGGGAGAGGGTCAAGGGAAGCAGCCCTGTTTCCCAGTCCTTATCCAGCTGCTGGCGTGGCAGCACACACACTGCAGCTGTAACAAGAGTCTCAGCAAGTCTGCAAAGGTTGAGCTTCCTGCTGTCACTCCTCTTGTGTGACACAATGAAGGCACTAGAGCTGAGGAGAAGGTGATTGGCATGGAAGCTGTACAATGTTTACTTAAAAATTATTTTTCTCCTGGATTGTTGGACATACCTCACAAGAACAATATAAAGCTACAGCCACAGAACAAAGATGAAGTTAGCAAAATACTGGTTTTGTTAATCTTGCCAGTTTGTCAATGTTCAGACTAGGCTTTAATAAATACGACCTTGAAATTGCTCTCTTTCTTTCTGCTGCATTGTGCTGACAGTGGGAATGGAAGGAGTACCTGTCACTCCTCCCAAGGTAGCCTGGACTCTGATTCCTGTCCAGCTACATCTTTTTGCCTGGTCTACTCTCCAATTCTGTGCCCATTTATAGATTCCAGGGCATTCCTTTGTCCTCATCTCTCTGTGTGACCAAGACATTTTCCCACCACATAGATCTGGTGGAGGAGCTGCTTTTGCAGCTATCCTCTCCCATTTGGCCTGACCTAAAAAGCACTGAAACTAAACAGCCTTGTTTGGAAGACTGTTATGCCAAGCTACAGGCTCCTTGCTCAGGCAGGTTCTTCTATTAAAGGCAGCTGGGTGGAGCATTAGCAGGCTTGCAGGTTACTGTCATTTGTCTTATGAGGTGACCTAAATCAACTGAGTGATCCACCTATCTGGGACAAACACCCACAGAGTTCCTTCCTTCTGCAGCATCTTTTGATGCCCTCATTCCAGCATAGATTACAAATACTTCTCCTATTATCATGTTCACTGCTTTATTCATCCCACACATTAACCAGAATCTTTATGTATTCTTGTGGATCACCTGTTAAGTTAGTTGACTTGGGGCAGGGAGGGGGGTTTGGAAATTAGACAGCATCCAAGTGTATTTAAAGCAGAAGTAATCTCCTGGGGATGTAAAAGAGAATTGTGGGAATATATTGTAGGAGTTCCTAAATGTCAGCTCAGCTGTTCTCACTTCTGCTGTGTCCTCACTCTAAAGTGATTAGCTCAGGACTTTTCTGACATAAATACTAAAGTTTCTACCTCTGCATCTAGCTGCAGAGGTGAGTATGGATTCAAAAGATGTGTCAGCATGAATACAGGGATGTGTCTGCTGACCGTCAGGTTATCTGGGCCTGAGTCAGAGTCCAGAAGCCAGGGCAGGACTACCCTGCCCTCAGCTGGTTCTTGGTCATCTTAGTGACTTTTGAGAAAAAAAGCAGATGCAGTTTTGCGTGTTTCCAGGATTAAGGGGTAAAAACCCCTTTCATTTACAGCCCTTTCTCACGGAAAAGTCTTACCTCCTCTTGCAATCTCTTACTCTTTCCTATTTTTAGCACGTCTGATCAAAGAAATAATGAACCCTTTTTTTTTCTCCCCCTAGTGAGGGTTGTGTGTTTCTTCCAGCAATGCCAGGAGACTTTGGCTCACCCAGCTAAACAGGGCATTCAAAACTGACCCTGAGTTTGTAGGCAGTGTGATTTTATTGTCCTTCCTGTTCCTATTGTTTCAACAGGTTCCCACAGCCAGCGTCACCATAGAAGGAGCCTCTGCCCTCAACCGTGTCCGCTGGGCCCAGGCTGGGAAGGAGGTAGCAGTTGGTGATTCAGAAGGCCGCATATGGATCTATGATGTTGGAGAGGTATTATTGTTTTGGGGGGGTTTGTGGGTTTGGTTTGGCTTTTTGTTTGTTTGTTTGGGTTTGTTTTGTTTTATTTGTTAAGTTCATCCTGGGGATTGAAACATCCAAGTTTGAGAAAGAATAAGCCAGATTTGTTTCAGTGGAGTCCCCACTGAATTTGGGTTGCCAATGTGTGTTAGTCATAAAGTTACCTTGTAAAAGAGTTAACTCATTAAAGTCTCATGAGAGAAGTCTCTTTTGAAAGTTTTCATTATTTTTAAAACTGGTTTTTAATGGTTCTATGGGTACAGTTGGACAAACTTAAAAGAATGTAAAGAGAAAAATCGAGGTGCAAAAAGAGACTGTCCTGAAGGATTCACCTTTCCAGTAGCTCTTATTTTATGACTGGCTTAATGCTGTACATTTTTCTCAGCATGACAGGTACAGAATGCATCTGTTCTTTTGATACTGCATGATGCTTCATATGTCTCAATATGTGCAAAAGTACTAACAGGAGGAAATGAGAGGTGTCATTGTGGAGGATGGTAGGTGCATGCGTGATAAAAGAGTATGCAGGTGCTGAGAATAGCAGGATGCATGTTCTATGTCTAAGGCTGCTCTCAATTCACTCTGCTACATCTTATAACAAATACCTAAACTGCAGTGTGTTTGGCAGTGATGAATCTACCTCTTTGTTGATGAATGCTGTATGAAGTGTTCCATTGGCATTACAATCCCTTGGAACAGTTAAGAGTGAATCTCTGAGCAATCAGCTTTTATGTAGAGAATTTGTTTTCCATCATTATCTGTGATAGGATACTGAGATATCCATCTCTACACAGTAGGGAAACATTATAGAATGCATACAGAATTATCTGTAACTCTCATAAAGTGATTTTATGGCCCATAGCAAAATTGCTTGTGCGTGACTCATATTTTTGGATTGCATTCACTTGTGCAGGAGTTGCCCTTCCTCACAAATGTTTGCTGAAACTTCTTGCCATGTTGTTAGCATAATCTCTAAATTGTCTAAGGTTACTGTGCTCAGATTTCCACTGTGATGCTGGCAAGTCAGGCTGGTTTTATTTATTTTTCATTTTTACATGATTGTTCTGAAAAGGTGTTTTTTCTGTCTTTCAAGTGATACGACAGGCTATGGAAATGTCTTTGATGACAGCACAGAGTGATCTTTTCTGGGAGATGGGCTGTGGAAATGTCTCTTTTTTCATATCATACACCAAATCATTCATAGGATTGTTTACCCCTGCAAACTCACTCAGGAGAAAATAGATTTAGTGTTCTATACAGAAGTAGTAATATTTTAAGGTTTTGGCCTTTCCTCTATGTAATCAGACGTCAGCTTGCAAAATGAGTCACAGTGATACACCCGGATAAAAAAAGACAGGCTTCTATTACTTGAAGAAGAAAAGAGAGTCATTCAACAGTATTGATTTGTGTTAGTCCAGTTCAGTGGTACATAAAGGGCTTTGCTTCACGGATGTTGCATGTCCTGCCCGTGCAGAGTCTCAGTGTCTCCAGCTCAGCTCTGTATGCAGTTATGTAAAGCAATGGATGTCCATCCACATGGCTGCTGACAGACCATTGTAAACCCTCCTCCTCTCCTGTAAGGAATGAAGGAGCTCATTAATTTGTTGCCTAGTTCATTCTGGCAGTATCAGTCTCTGCCATAATTCCTGTATCAAATTCAGAAGAGGTGATCTGGGCTGCAACAACTTCAGATGCTACTGGGGCTGCTGTATTGTAGTGCCTTTTTCTGATTTGGAAAAGAAGGGTGTTCATATATTGTCCAGCCCAGCTTTTCTCACTATAAAGCCTCAAGTGAGATGCAGAAATACTTTGCAGCTCAGGAGTCTGGAACCGAGGGGGCATGTACAGTGAATAACAGCCTCTTCGGTCATTAACCCTGTGTGCCAGTCCATAAAGAGCTCTTTGATGAGTGAATCCATGCTTAGCTGTCCTCAGGCATGACACATGGGGGACTCACAGTGTGCACATGCACTTTTGGAAGTGTCTGGCAAAAAAATGGCAGCCTCTAAGGCTCTGCTTTACTTCAGTGTGCAGTCACCAGCCAGTTCCTTGTCTCAGCTGGCATCCTCTTTTGACTGTCCTTTTTGTATGGGTTTGATTTTGGGATGTGACAGCATTGGTCTGACAGTTTAAAAGGGGCAGCCCTTCCCCTGCCAGCTACCTCTACCCATATTCCTCGCTGTCCAGTTTTTGTGTAGGCAGCAGTGCTTGTTAGCACTCGTGTGGTGGGAGGCAGATCAGTAGAGAAGTATTTATTTGTTTGGTTTGTTTTCTTTGGAGTATTTTTCTTCATGAACTGACTCAGTGTAGGAATAGATGAGTGAGCATGTGGCTGAGGTCGAGGGTCTGGGAGCTGGACTGTACAGCACCTGACAGGACCTAACTTTTGTATTTGACCCCGAAATGTTGCAAATCCTGACACTAAGCTGTGACAGTTGACCTTTCAGCAATAACGCTCATCCCATCTCCTACAACATCAGCTTCTGAAAAGGCCTGGAAGAACTCATCCCTGCCTGACTGATAACTCAGTAGCATCCACTTGTTTGAAGGTGCATCTCTCTGATTTGGGAAGATGGTTGTGATTACTTGCGTTAGAAAGTCAGCAGGCCACTTTACAAAGACCCTAAATACACTCGCCAAAACCATTCATGCTCCACTTATACTGCACCCTTTTTAAAACCTTTCTTTTCTTGTGACTGTTCCAAATACCATGTTAGATTAGCTGTAAATGCATAAAACATTGCTTCCATTAGAAAAAAATGTGATTATATTTGTATTTTAATAAAGCACAGTGTCTTTGAATTTCACATCACCAGATAAACAGTTTTTCTTACCTGTTTAAACAGACAGCATTGACTCCATTAATTTTGATTAAAACAGAAAACATCAGGTTATCAAATCATTAAGGAAAAGAAATAACTGGTAGGAATTTTTACTTTGGTAGATTCATCATGGTTTTAAGGAACTATCCTAGAGAGCAGTAAAGTTTACTGCTGCTATTAACCCATACGGTGTAAAGAGAAAACATATGACCTAGGTGAAAAACATAGGACAAGAGGGCTAACCTTGCATCCTTTGTGAAGGCAAGGAGTGTGAGATCTGGGATGCTTTTGCTTGTGTAAGAATTTAGGGTTTGGCCCTTGTTCATATGTTATGCAGTCATGGTTTTTATGACACAGGAAATGTCAGAAACATAAAGAACATGTCAGGGTCCATGACCAGGGAGTTAAAAATAATGGTGACATTTTCAGTTAGGCTATACAATGTTATCTCCTTAGAGTATGTAGTTTTAGTTGTATGATTTCAGCATCGCATCTGAAAATAACTGAACACATTTATTTTCACAGTGAGGGGTCTATTTTCTCCTCTATATGTGTGCTTTATGCCCATTAGCATTAATGGGAGTTACACACACACTTCCAGGGGAGAGGAGACTTAAATAGTCCATATAGATGTGCTCTTGTGGATCAGTAAGCACTGACTTAAAGAATGTAAATTATAAAATGAAATAAAACCAAAACATACCAAAATCTGATTGTTTTAATGTGATGGGATCTTAAACCTATATAACTTAACCAGAATATATAACCAGTCATTGTAAGTACACTTTACTCTTGGTAAGATCTAAATATTAAAACTTTTGCTGGCCTAGTAGCTGTGATATTATTATTGTGATAGTTTGTATAATATATTTTAGATTCTGTGGGCAGCAGAAGCTAAAATATATTATACAGTTTGTGTAATATATTTTAGCTTATTTACTGGGCAGCAAGATTTTTGTATGGTAGAAGTTGATTTTAACAGAACATGGACCACTGACTTTAGATTTATTCACATGTCCAGATGATTGATAGTTAGACCTAGCTGCATGTCTGTTTTGTAGATATATTTTCTAGAAAGCTTGCTCCCATTGTGCACGCTTCAGTGATGTTACACAGTGGATGCTGTCATAAATATTCTCTAACAACCATGTTTGTTGCTTACCTGGCTTATTGAGAATGCTCTTTGCACCTTTGGTTGTGAAAGAAGCAGCTTCTCATCTGCCTTCCATTATTTCTCTTTTCTTTTTTTTCCCCATTTATCTCTTCCAGGTCACATTCTGCTTGCGCTGTGAGTATATAGATAGAAACTGTAAATCAACAACTTATTATTTGATTGTATTGAAATACAAAGTAAGTTTGTAGCACAGGACTGCAGAGTTTGAAACTGTAATCATGAGTAGCTTAATGCAGTACATTATTTTGTAAAACTAGTTACAGGACAACCTGTTGCATCTGTTTGGCGGCCTTTCAGACCATTGGTTCTAGTCATCCTTTTCAAAGGTAGCTGTTGTGACAGGTGCAACTGGAGAAAAGTGAGGAAAGTAAGAAAACGTCCTTTTGTAGACTCTCCAGGAAGGCTGGCTCTGCCAAAGAAAGCAGTTACCTGGGATTCTTGGTTCACTTATTCCTTCTGTCATCATTTCCTTACAGTGAAATCTGAATCATATGGATGCTTATGTGATTTTGGTAGGTTTCAGAGCTACTATTGACTTAAGCCTTTTTAGTGCTGCTATGTTAGGTTGTTTGTGTACTTCCATATTTGCTCCTTGATAGGTGTTAATCCTGCATCTCATTTTCGAGTATATGACCAGTGAGGGAGGAGCTGAAAACCACCTGAAGTACGTGGATGAAGTGGTATAGTAAGGAATATCCCACTGGTGCCTATAAAATAATTTCCTTTGATTTCAACAGCCTTTAAAAGCTGCCCTGAGATTTTTTGGGTTCTAGACAGAAATAAGTGTATATTTGTGACCAACTCTCACATTTCAGCATGGCTACTGAGTCACTTGTTTTTCTGTCTAGAGTGTGAAGGATTTGTACTTTGTACTCCTGTCTTGTGATCCCTGTGTTTCACTGTAGATGTCATATGGAAAACATATTCAGCATCTCTTTAAAAACTGCTGTATGCCCAGAGAGAGAAATATGAAGCTAGGTTTTGTGTCATAGTCATCCAGGTAGATTTTCCAGTAGGTTTGCTTTTGCCATCATAAAGCTTCTCTAGAGCATATATTGAGTTGGGAAATGTTTTTGCCACAAAAGTGGAGTTGAGACTCACCATAAAATATTTTATTTTAAAATCTCTGTTGAGTTACAAGTATTCTTGTAATGGCTCACGCACATATTGTGAAGGCAAATTTGAGCAATAATAAAGGGTTGTGCTTACAACCAAGTGTTATTCAAAAGTGTTCAAAGATTAAGTAAGACACGGTAGTTACAACAACATGCACAATCCAGGCATAAAGGATAATTAAATGGATTGTGTGGCACTGCATGAATTTCTCCACTGATATTTTGCTAGGGAGGTTGGAATGCTGGCCTCAGAGAATGTTAAAAGCGTATTTTAACAAGGCAGAATCTCTTACGAGTTTTTGGAAAATGTAAAGAGCTAAGGTTTTGATTTGCTTCCCTTCTACCCCCAGTTTTATAATATTCAGTCTTGAAAGACTTTTAAAACCGGAAGCATTTAGAGATGACCAAAAAAAAAAATACTAGGAACTTCAGCTTTTTACTTGAATAATATCTGAACTATTGAGAAGAACAAGCTCCTCATCCCTCATCATTTGAATTTTGACTGATATAGTCAGTATTCACAAAAGGATTTTTGAAGTAGGTTAAAAAATAACTCCCTAATGAAAAAAATGCACTAGTTTGAAATCAGTCAATTTAATTACTGTGTTTTATGAAGGCCATTACCCGTTGCTGATTACTAGGGTGATAAAATCTTTAAGCTTTGGTAGCCTCCATAGGGGGTGAGCCGATCTAAGTAGAGCAAAGTCCAGTCATTATCACCCTAAATACTTGTGTTTCTCATTACAATATTCATTACTTTAGGTTACTGTGAAGGCTTTGAGGTCTTTTTGTAAGCAGTGGTTTATTCTGTTGTAGAAAAACAATGTTATGTTGATAAGTTAAAACCAAGCATTTATGTACTTTTACAGTTTAAAATGGAACTTGGCTATATCCATACATAAAAATGTACAGATTTATACTTGTGAGTATCCCTATACACGCATATTGGTGGTGGAGTGCTTGTCAGTGAGGTCATACTAGTCTGATAAGAAATTGAAAAGGATATGAGTTACCTTGTTCTTTCAGTGTGTTTTGATACTTCAAGAAGCTGTAATGGAGGCTTGTGTTCTTAATAACAATCTTTATTAGGGAAGGGAAAACCGAGCCATGGCCTAATTAATCTGAGTTACCTCAGGCTGGATGCTGAACATTGGAGCTCTTTATCTCCAGTGCCAGCCTAGGGCCTTTTGCTTCCCTTTCCCTGCCACCTCTTGTACATCATGTGAAGTCAGTGGCTCTCTACCCTTCTCAGTCTCCCTCATCGTGGCCTTCAGACTTACAAAGCAGTTTCATAAAACAGATATTATTTAAAAGATGATGCAAAATCATTTACTCTTTTGTTTTAAAATGTATATTTTTTAAAAAAAGAACACTTGAAATATATCAGGGAGAGGTGTGGATCTGGGGTACTGGGAGAGAAGAGTAGCCTGTAAGAAGAGGCAGAAGAACTTGGTGTGACTAAGCCAGGGAAGTCTGAACCTGGTGGCAATATAGATATTTCATATCCTTTCATATCCTAGGAGTGCTTGGGACCAGAGAGGGAGAAGTAGTGAAGCTGAGGACATGCTGCCAACAGTGCATGTGGCTGCAAGCTGGCCATGTATTCAAGTCAAAAATTAGAATAATATTTTTAACTGTCAGAAGGCTGAAGTTTCAGAGCGGGTAGAAGCAGTAGGACCTCTCGAAGCAGAGCCTGTCAACAGGATTTCGTGACGTGCTTGTGTGTGATACTGCAGTGGGTCACACCTGCTGTACAGGGTCACTCTCCTGCCTATGCCCTGATGTATACTTGCTCTTGGTAACAACACAGTTCCTTCTGTTTCTCTCTCTAGAAAAGTGAACACAAAATTCCACTTTCATTCTACTATCTGAATATTACTTAATAAAATTAAAGGAGGAAGTACCAGATTTTAAATGAAAATATAATTTTTCTCATTAATTGACTAGACAGTGAAAGTAAACGGATATTAGTGAAAACAGACAGAAGAGGGTGCGGGATTTAAAGAGTTATACTAAAAATTCAGTTGATTCTTTATTCTTAGCTTCCAGTTGCTTATGATGAAATATTTCAGTAATTCTCCAGAGGCAGCTTACTTGTTCCCCAAAGAATTTCACAGGGTAAAAAGACATGAGTTTCCAATATGATACAAATATCTTTTAAAATAATTCTTCAACTCCTCATCATATGAAATAAAAGACTTAAGAAACCCAGTCAACCAACCAACAAAAATCTGGCCCTAGTCCTTTTTATTCATTTGCACACTATTTTAAAGCTGACTTATGTTTCCTTTTCCTTTGCAAAGGCACAGATCCTCCCCCTGCAGAGAGGATCAGAGAGAACAAGCCACATGAGACAGGAGTTAATCATGTAGCTTAATGCACTATTAGAAGGCACGCAGATAACGAAGTGATGAGAGTTGCAGAAGAGAAACTGTAAGAGATCATTCCCTTTCTGCACAGTAAAGCCTGCAGAAGGGGGAGAAGGGAGAGCTGTATGGTATTTTCCTGCTGAACTGGGAAGCAAGGGCAAGAGAGGAGGGGTAAAGGGAGGCCCAGATTGGACATACCACTCTGTCCACATCGGCACTACTGGTGGCTTCAGTACTATCTCCTCAGTTACTGCTTCTCCTGAAAACTTGTCAAGAGGCTTAGTGGAAAAGATAATCTGTGTCCAGGCTTTCTGTGATAGTTGTAGCTGAGGCAGTAAAACCGGAACGAGTGCTGGTCTGCCCTGTCCTGACCCTGTATCCTGGAACACTGTGGGGGGGATACAGCTGTAGTCAATGCATGTTAATAGTGTCACAGAGTATGTATTTTAAATATCTAGTTATTCTGTTGGGTAACATTTTCTCTGAAAAATACAAAATTTAATTTAAGCTCAGTTTGTGTGCAGCAGTTTGCAAATTTCATTGGAATTCGTGAGTTATCACTGTGGTGTTAAAACACTTCAGGAACAAGAGCTGCTTTGTATAATTAATTTTCTTCATGGTGCTTTTGTGGTTTCAACCTGTCACATCCAGTAGCAGTTTTCATTTTGAGAATCCTTAACTATGTTTTCAATCTTTATGGTTTGCAAAATGGTCTGTATTTTGAACATGAAAAAATACTTAATTTGTGACTTGGAAAGTAACAGTAAAACCTAAATACCAGCTGAGGATAACTCTGGGCCTTAATGCATCCTATTTTGCAGCTAAAATTCTATATTCATTTAAATGTGAAATGTATACTCCAGTGCCTAGAGTGATGAAAGAATCTATATCTGAAATGAAGAAAAAAAAAAAGGAAAAAGAACATAACAAAACCCCCTGCTATTTCATGGATGAGCTTTTGTAGATAATGGGATGTATTCAAAATCTCAGAGAAAACAGCAACTCTCCTGCAAACTTAAAATCTTTGAGCAGTTCATAAGCTACTTATGGTGAGAGTCCATTTGCCAACTGAGAGTCAGAAAGCTCTGGCAAAAGTCCTTTACAGTTCCTACTCTGCTGGATTTCTGGGCATGAATCGTGACATTGACACGGCCAACTTGGTTTAGATAGAAAGCAAGCTGAGCTGAAGATGGTTTATTCCCTTCCCTGAGGCAATAGTCCTGAACTTCCAGGGAGGCACCTCTGCCAGTGCAGCTACCCCATGGACTGAAGCTCTGGTGGTATTTCCAGTGAAACTCATGGGCTCATTCTTCCAGTCAATGTAGTTGTCAGTAAAAAAAATGTAGATATTGGAAAGAACAATAGGTTATGGGCTCCTTCTAGTTTTGATTCATTTAGTATTTTTAGGCTTTCTTGTGCCGTGATGACAACTGATAACATAATTTGGTAGAGGAGGAATTCTGATCCCTTAGCTCCAAATGTTAAATGCCCTGACAGTCATGTAAAAAATTCATGGAGTTTTCAATGGCTTTGAGAAATGACAATCGGAGCAGGACTGAGATCCCCATGGGAGATGAATGGCAGGCAGCATGACTCAATGTTTTTCTCAATCCACCTGTAAATTGATGCC